AAAAAAAAAAAGGAGACAGGGTCTTGTTATGCCTTGCCCAGGCTGGTATTGAACTCTTGGGCTCAAGCAATCCTCCTGCCTCAGCCTCACAAAGTGCTGGCATTACAGGTATGAGCCATCTCACCCAACCCACCCCCTGCTTTTTAAATTTTTTTTGAGACAAGGTCTCACTTTGTCACTTAGGCTGGAGTGCAGTGGTACAATCCCGGCTCACTGAAGCTTTGACCTCCCTGACCTCCTAGGTTCAAGCAATCCTCCTGCCTCAGCTCCCCAAGTAGCTGGGACTACACGTGCCGGTCATGATGCCCAGCTAATTTTTGCATTTTTGGTAGAGATGGAGTTTCACAATTTGCCCAAGCTGGTCTCAAACTCCTGACCTCAAATGATCTACCAGCCTCAGCCTCCCAAAATGCTGGGATTACAGGCGTGAGCCACCACACCCAGCCCCAGCCTAGATATTCTATTCTATTTAAATTTCTTTTTTTGTTGGTAGCATGCTACTAAATTGGTTTTCTACCCACTGAGTTAAAACCCATATTTCTTTTTAATATTAACAAATAGAGACAGAGTCTTGTTATGTCTCGCCCAGGCTGGTACTGAACTCCTGGGCTCAAGCAATCCTCCTGCTTTGACCTCCCAAAGTGCTGGTATTACAGGTGTGAGCCATCTCGCCCAGCCCCCACTCCTTTTCTTTTTTTGAGACAGGGTCTCACTTTGTCACCTAGGCTGGAGTGCAGTGGCACAATCTCAGCTCACTGAAGCCTTGACCTCCCAGGTTCAAGCAATTCTCCTGCCTCAGCCCCCCAAGTAGTTGGGACTACAAGAGCCTGTCACCATGCCCCGCTAATTTTTTGTCTTTTTGGTAGAGCTGGAGTTTCACCATGTTGCCTAGGTTCATCTTGAACTCCTGAGCTCAAGCGATCCACTGGACTCGGCCTCCCAAAGTGCTAGGATTACAGGTGTGAGCTACCACACCCTCGGCCCCACATTTAACAAAACACTAACTTTGACTCTCTTGTGTCCTATGGATATCAACATATTAATATTACATTATAAGTAACTAAATGAGTCCCTGGGGCAAAAGTAGTCTTCATTTTCCACACTTCCCACATACATGGCTGTCTTAACACACACATACACACATACGCCCACAGTCTCAATGTAAAACTGCCTAAATTAGGAGTCAGTTCAGAGAAAAGATGGAGAGAGCCCAGAAAAGAAAAAAAAAATCAAGATGAGAAGATGCTTCCACCTCAACCCTCAAATAGCTTCTAACTAGATCAGATTAGAAGTCAAGTAAATTCCAGGGTTGTTTTGCTTAAATAGGAACAGTGTTTCATAAACAGTTGAGGCCTACTGGGTAGTGGTGGTAGGCAGGGATATCCCCTAGAATGCCACAGAGCCTATAACCTCCTAGACTTTTATATCAATCCTACTCCCCACTCTCCCATTAGATCTTCTGGCAAGTCAGCTGTCAAGTTAGAGGCCAAAAACTACAGGCTGTCACAGAAAACACAAAATCCTGTCCCACACTCAGAACCAGTACTTGCTAGAAGAAAAAATAAAAGCAGACTTAAGGGCCTTTCGGTTCCTTACTTCTCTCACTGGAGATTGCCATCACAGCCAGGAACCAGGACAGAAAAGCTCTAAGTTCTGGGATTTTGTAAAACCTCCCCACTCTTCCCCCCATTTTGAGACAAAGACAATATAGGGCAAGTCTCTGCCTGAGCCAAAATATGAAGAGAGGAAGCTGATCAGCTGATTCTCTTTACAGAGCTTTGTTCTGTGGAATAGGAAGTCATTAATGGAAATGTCCTCCCTCTCTACCCTCTCCCCCTCAGGGAAGTGAAAAGTCATTTTAAATCAAACTGAACACTGCCCCAGGGAACAGTTGATACAGACACTTAATTTGTAAGTCCTTTAGTCTCTCACTTTTTTTATTCCATTAAACTTTCTACTGGACCAGACCAAAATCCAGAAAGTATTCGAAGGCTATGATTCAGAAGTAATAAAAAGTCAAATTAAGGCAAAAGCATCCATCTGACAGTTGGCTCAGGTTCAGAAATAACGAAAATACAGAAATAATTGAGTTTTTTTATTTTTATTTTTATTTTTTTGAGATGGAGTTTCGTTTTTGTTCCTTAGACTAGAGCACAATGGCGCAATCTCAGCTCACCACAACCTCCATCTCCTGGGTTCAAGTGATTCTCCTGCCTCAATCTTCTGAGTAGCTGGGATTACAAGCATGCGTCATCATGCCCCACTAATTTGTATTTTTAGTAGAGACAGGGTTTCTCCATGTTGGTCAGGCTGGTCTTGAACTCTCAACCTCAAGTGATCTGCCCACCTCGGCCTCCCAAAGGGCTGGCATTACAGGCATGAGCCACTGCACCCAGCCAAGAATTGAATTTCAATTATCTTATTGGAAGCAAAACTAGGGAGACTACAAAATATAAAACTTTTTTTTGAGATGGAGTTTCACTCTTGTCACCCAGGCTGGAGTGCAGTGGTGTGATCTTGGCTCACTGCAACCTCTACCTCCCGGATACTCCTGCCTCAGCCTCCTGAGTAGCTGGGATTATAGGCGAATGCTACCACACCACACCAGCTAAGTTTTTTTTTTTTTTTT